ACCTCTATGTAAAGAGGACCGTCCGAAAACTGCGTTCTCCACTCGTGATAATCATTATCAATTTACTGTACTTCCACAAGAAATCACCAACGGATCAGCAACTTTTCAACGTTTAATTAATCATATATTAGGACCTACACGATGGAAATTTGCATTAGCTTACATTGATGATATAATTATTTATTCGAAAACATTTGAAGAACATTTACTTCATCCTAATGAAATTTGTCAAGTATTAAAAGATACTCGATTTCGTCTCAATCCAGATAAATGTGAAATAGCTCGAACACAAACATATTATCTTGGACATCATATACGAAATGGTGATATTTGTTCAAGTCCAAATAATATAAATGGATTATTAAAAACAAGATTACCACAAACTCCAGATGAAGCTTGTAAATTTGTTAAAGCTGCTGAATATTATAGAGAATTTATACCAAATTTTTCTCAAATTGCTGAACCGCTTCGAAAATTTGTACCAACTACCAGAACTCAACAAAGAAAAGGACAAAAAACTATAATCACTTTAACCAATGATGAAATTAAAGCATTCGAACAATTAAAAAATTTTCTTACTACCGATTCGGTACTACGAATTTCAAATAATAGATTCCCGTTTAAAGTTCAAACTGATGCTTCAGATGAGGGAATCGGTGCAGTATTATTACAAATCTATCCAGAAGGAGATAGACCTATTGCATATCTTTCCAAGAAATTTACTCAAACACAACGTAAATGGTCTCCTATGGAACAAGAATGTTATGCTTTTATTTGTGCATTAGACAAATGGCATAATTATTTCAGTGGAATTAAATTTATATGGAAAACTGATCATAAAGCATTAACACAATTAAATCAAAAAGCTCAAATTAATAAACGATGCGAACGATGGAGATTAAAAATTTTAGAATATGATTTCAAGGTTAAATACATTCCTGGTTTAACAAATTTAATGCCTTATTATTTATCAAGATCTCCAGTTGACGATGCTGAAGACGATCCTGATGAAACTACGCATCTAATTTCAACATCAACACAAACAGATATTTTATTTAATAACACCCATTCACCTATCATCGCAGCTGTTGAAACTCGTGCTATGAAATTACGAAATGAAATTTTAAATGATACAAATAATAATAATAAATTAACATCAGATTCTCTAAATACTTCTGTTGAAGAGAATCGAATAATTCCATTTTCAATGGAACAATTAATACAAGCTCAACAAAATGATAATTATGCGAAAAATATTCTGAACAATATCAAGAAATATAAAAATTATATTATAAAAGAAAATCTTTTAATGCATCGATTAAATCCTCCAGTTCCTTATGTACCATGAGGTGATATACGACAAATAATTTTAAACATATATCATGCTATCGCAGCAACGANGTGAAATTCGTCCAAGTCCTCACAATATTAATGGTTTACTAAATACAAGATTACCACAAACTCCAGATGAAGCTTGCAAATTCGTTAAAGCTGCTGAATATTATCGAAAATTTATACCAAATTTTTCTCAAATCGCCGAACCACTTAGAAAATTTGTTCCAACTACAAGAACTCAACAAAAGAAAGGACAAAAAACTATTATTACATTAACAAATGAAGAAGTTAAAGCATTCGAACAACTTAAGCATTATCTTACAACTGATCTAGTATTACGACTTCCAAATAATAGATTCCCATTTAAAGTACAAACTGATGCATCTGATGAGGGAATCAGTGCAGTATTATTACAAATTTATCCAAACGGTGATAGACCAATTGCATTTCTTTCGAAAAAGTTTACTCAAGCACAACGTAAATGGTCTCCTATGGAGCAAGAATGTTATGCATTTATATGTGCATTAAATAAATGGCATAATTATTTAAGTGGAATTAAATTTATGTGGGAAAGTGACCATAAAGCATTAACACAATTAAATCAAAAAGCTCAAATTAATAAACGATGTGAAAGATGGAGATTAAAAATTTTAGAATATGATTTCAAGGTGAAATACATTCCAGGCTTAACAAATTCTATGCCTGATTATTTATCAAGATCTCCAGTTGACGATGCTGAAGAAGATCTCGATGAAACTACACATCTTATTTCAAAATCAACACAAACCGATACTTTAAATGTTAATAATCATTCATCTATCGTCGCAGCTGTTCAAACTCGTGCTATGAAATTACGAAATCAAACTTTAAATGATATTACCGATATACCAGAATTAACATCAGATTCTCTAAATACTTCTACTGAAGAGAATCGCATTACTCCATTTTCAACTGAAGAATTAATACAAGCTCAACAAAATGATAAATATGCAAAAAATATTTTAAACAATATCAAGAAATATAAAAATTATATTATAAAAAATAATCTTTTAATGCGTCGATTAAATCATCCAGTGCCTTATGTACCACAAGGTGATTTCCGGAAAACAATCTTACAAATTTATCATGATACTGCAGCAAATGGTGCTCATTTTGGAAGAGATAAAACAATACATAAAATTCAACAACGTTATTTTTGGCCATCAATGTATAAAGATATTAATAATTATATTAAATCATGTATTCTATGTGCACAATTTAATCCTCGTCGACAAAAAAATCCTGGTACATTAAGACCTATTAAACCTCCTGATGGAGTATGGCAATTAGTATCAATGGATTTTCATGGACCTATTACTCCAACAACTCAACGTGGAAATAAATATATTATATNGTGAAATTCGTCCAAGTCCTCACAATATTAATGGTTTACTAAATACAAGATTACCACAAACTCCAGATGAAGCTTGCAAATTCGTTAAAGCTGCTGAATATTATCGAAAATTTATACCAAATTTTTCTCAAATCGCCGAACCACTTAGAAAATTTGTTCCAACTACAAGAACTCAACAAAAGAAAGGACAAAAAACTATTATTACATTAACAAATGAAGAAATTAAAGCATTCGAACAACTCAAATATTATCTTACAACTGATCTGGTATTACGACTACCAAATAATAAATTCCCATTTAAAGTGCAAACTGATGCATCTGATGAGGGAATTGGTGCCGTATTATTACAAGTTTATCCAGACGGTGATAGACCGATCGCATATTTTTCAAAAAAATTTACTCAAGCACAACGTAAATGGTCTCCTATGGAACAAGAATGTTATGCATTTATATGTGCATTAGACAAATGGCATATTTATTTAAGTGGAGTTAAATTTATATGGGAAACTGATCATAAAGCATTAACACAATTAAATCAAAAAGCTCAAGTTAATAAACGATGCGAACGATGGAGATTAAAAATTTTAGAATATGATTTCAAGGTGAAATACATTCCAGGTTTAACAAATTCTATGCCTGATTATTTATCAAGATCTCCAGTTGACGATGCTGAAGAAGATCCTGATGAAACTACGCATCTAATTTCAACATCAACACAAACAGATATTTTATTTAATAACACCCATTCACCTATCATCGCAGCTGTTGAAACTCGTGCTATGAAATTACGAAATCAAACATTAAATGATACAAATGATAAAAAAAATTTAACATCAGATTCTCTAAATACTTCTGTTGAAGAGAATCGAATTATTCCATTTTCAATTGAAGATTTAATACAAGCTCAACAAAATGATAATTATGCGAAAAATATTCTAAACAATATCAAGAAGTATAAAAATTATATTATAAAAAATAATCTCTTAATGCGTCGATCAAAAACTCCAGTTCCTTATGTACCACAAGGTGATCTTCGAAGAACAATTTTACAAATTTATCATGATACTGCAGCCAATGGTGCTCACTTCGGAAGAGATAAAACAATACACAAAATTAAACAACGTTATTTTTGGCCATCGATGTATAAAGATATTGATAATTATATTAAATCATGTATTCCATGTGCACAATTTAATCCTCGTCGTCAAAAAAATCCTGGTACATTAAGACCTATTAAACCTCCTGATGGAGTATGGCAATTAGTATCAATGGATTTTCATGGACCTATTACTCCAACAACTCAACGTGGAAATAAATATATTATATCTCTTACTGANAATGATTTGCAAAAACATTTACGAGCCGAATGCTATTCCGAACAGATTCGAAAACAAATACTCGAATCGACTAAACATATAGAAAATCGAAAACCTCAATTAGCAATTCAAGATATTTTATGGCGAAATAAAATATTATTTGATCCTACACCATCAATTATTAATATTCCTCCACAATCAGCAATTAGAACCGGTGATCATCCTCCTATTTATTCAAAACAATATTCTGCTTCATACAAAGATCAGGAACTTAAATTTCAAGGAACACAAAAATTATTAGAACGTGGTCAAATTGAAGAATCAACTTCCCCATGGTCATCACCTATTGTACTTGTTAAGAAGAAAGACAAGACCATGCGATTTTGTATTGATTATCGACGTTTAAATACTATTACAATTAAAGATGCATTTCCACTTCCTCAAATCGATGAAATCTTTGATCAATTATCCGATGCAATGTGCTACACAAAACTCGATTTTCAATCTAGTTATTTCCAGGTACCTCTATCTAAAGAGGACCGACCGAAAACTGCATTTTCAACTCGTAATAATCATTATCAATTTACTGTTTTACCACAAGGAATAACAAACGGACCAGCAACTTTTCAACGCATAGTTAATCACATATTAGGACCCGCACGATGGAAATATGCATTAGCTTAGATTAATGATGTAATTATATACTCGAAAACATGTGAAGAACATTTATTACATCTTAATGAAATATGTGCAATATTAAAAAATGCACGATTTCGTCTTAATCCATATAAATGTGAAATTGCTCGAACACAAACAGATTATCTTGGACATAATATAAAAAATGGTGAAATTCGTCCAAGTCCTCATAATATTAATGGTTTATTAAATACAAGATTACCACAAACTGCAGATGAAGCTTGTAAATTCGTTAAAGCAGCCGAATATTATAGAAAATTTATACCAAATTTTTCTCAAATTGCTGAACCACTTAGAAAATTTGTTCCAACTACAAGAACTCAACAAAAGAAGGGACATGAAACCATAATTACATTAACAGATGAAGAAATCAAAGCATTTGAAAAACTTAAAAATTATCTTACAACTGATCTAGTATTACGACTTCCAAATAATAGATTCCCATTTAAGGTACAAACTGTTGCATCTGACGAAGGAATCGGTGCAGTATTATTACAAATTTATCTAGATGGTAATCGACCTATTGCTTATCTTTCAAAGAAATTTTCTCAAGCACAACGCAAATGGTCTTCTATGAAACAAGAATGTAACGCATTTATATGTGCACTAGACAAATGGCATAATTATTTAAGTGGAATTAAATTTATTTGGGAAACTGATCATAAAGCATTAACACAATTGAATCAAAAAGTTCAAGTTAATAAACGATGTGGACGATGGAGATTAAAAATTTTAGAATACGATTTCAAGGTGAAATATATTCCAGGCTTAACAAATTCTATGCCTGATTATTTATCAACATCTCCAGTTGACGATGCTGAAGAAGATCCTGATGAAACTACACATCTTATTTCACAGTCCACACAAACTGATATTTTATATGACAACAAAAATTCACCGATTATTGCAGCTGTTGAAACTCGTGCTATGAAATTACGAAACAAAACTTTAAATGATATTTCAGATACAACAAAATTAAGATCAGAGTCTCTAAATACTTCTACTGCAGAGAATCGCACAACTCCATCTTCAATCGAAGAATTAATTCAAGCTCAACAAAATGATAATTATGCAAAAAATATTCTAAACAACATCAAGCAATATAAAAATTATATTATACAAGACAATATTTTAATGCGTCGATTGAAAACTCCAGTCCTTTATATACCACACAGTAATCTCCGAAAGGCAATTTTATAAATTTATCACGATACTGCAGCCAATGGTGCTCATTTCGGAAGAGATAAAACAATACACAAAATTAAACAACGTTATTTTTGGTCATCGATGTATAAAGATATTGATAATTATTTTAAATCATGTATTCCATGTGCACAATTTAATCCTCGTCGACAAAAAAATCCTGGTACATTAAGACCTATTAAACCTCCTGTTGGAATATGGCAATTAGTATCAATGGATTTTCATGGACCTATTACTCCAACATCTCAACGTGGAAATAAATATATTATATCTCTTACTGATGTTTTATCAAAATTCGTCGTTACTAAAGCTGTACGTGATAATACAGCTCAAACTGCTGTTAGACTTCTTAAAGAAGATATTATTTCAAAATTTGGAACTCCTCGTTGTATTCTTACTGGCAATGGAACTCATTTTACTTCAACATTAATTGATGAATTAATTAAACAAATTGGAGCAACACATTTATATTCAACACCATATCANCGTTCGTGGCAAATTAATTCAATCAGCAGGATTATGGTTTGATAATCATGAACATGATTTCAAAAAATGGTCAGATTTTGAAATTGCATTTCGAAATCGTTATTTCTCATCAACAATGATTCACAAGAAATTCGATTTATTAAAACAACGAAAACAATTACATGATGAACCGGTTACATCTTATTTTGATGATGTTGTTAACTTATGTAATGAAATTGATCCAACTATGTCAGAACAAATTATAATTCAACATTTAATCAGTGGAATTAATCCTAATTTTAAAAAAGAACTTTCTCGACGTGAATCATCTATCAACACATTAAACGAATTTTTAAAATACGCTAAAATTGAACAAGACTTATATAATACTTTTGAAAAATCCAACCAATTATCAATCGAACATAAATCACCTAATACTACTATTAATCATCAGCAAGTTCCTTCATTTACAGCTATGATTAATCGACCGAAACAATATTACAATTATAAAAAAAGAAATGATTATTCATATCCTTTATCAAGTCAGAGCTCTGTCTTTCAACAGAACTCGATTCGTCAACCTGAATCTTGGCCAACATCTATATATAAAACACCAATACCACTTAATTCACCACAACAAACATATAATAAAAAACATATTAATAATCAATATACATCACGACAACAATTTAATAATTGCAAAATTTGTGGTCGAACAAATCATCGAACAATTGATTGTTTTTACAAACATACAACCGGATGTTATAATTGTGGTCAAAACCACAATGTCCGTGATTGTACATTACCTCCGAATTTTCAATAACTGGGTCACGTGATGGCGGTGTTCCCAGTAAATTTATGAAGCCATCAACAATCACATCATCTCCAGTTTACATCAAGATTCGTGTTAATGATCAACCAACGGAAGCAATTGTTGATACCGGTTCCGCCATCTCAATTATTCATTTAAATTTTCTTAAAACTATTCATCACAAAAATTTTATTTATAACAACCATACATGTCAAACAGCAAATTCAACACCACTTAATATAATTGGTCAAATTAAATTAGAAATAAAAATTAAATCAATAACAACTTATGTCGTTGCTCATGTTGCAACAAATTTAATTACATCAATATTATTAGGAAATGATTGGATTGATTCGAATCATGTTCACCTTTATGGTGACCAGAAACAATTAACTATTCCTGATCAACATGATCAATTAATTTCAATTACATATGTGGAACCAACATGTATTAATTATCCGGCATTATTAGTTCAACAAATTACTCTTCCACCATATTCACAAAAGTTAGTTGATATTACGTGTCAAGTTACTAACGCTAATAATCTTATATTTGAACCATATGAACGTCATGCATCAAAATTTATTTTTATGCCACATACATTATTAAATATTAATAAAAATCATGCACAAGTGTTACTTATAAATGCACGAAATCGACAACAAACATTATCAAAACACACACGAATCGGTACCATTACTCATGACACAACTTTCTCGATATATGCAACATCACAAGTTCCAACAAAAGATAATTTATTTTTAAATAAAAATCGTCAAATATTATCTCAACATTCGAAAAATTTAAATAGCAGAGCTGTCTTAAATAGGAAAGACAACTCGGATTCAACCAAATCAAATACTTATTGTGACCGTTGCAATGAATATTTTTTATCTGGTAATGATTTACAAAAACATTTAAGAGCAGAATGTTATTCCGAACAGATTCGAAAACAAATACTCGAATCGACAAAACACATAGAAAATCGAAAACATCAATTAGCAACTCAAGATATATTATGGCGAAATAAAATATTATTTGATCCTACACCATCAATAATTAATATACCTTCACAATCTGCAATTAGAACTGGTGATCATCCACCTATTTACTCGAAACAATATCCCGCTTCATATAAGGATCAAGATATTAAATTTCAAGAAACACAAAAATTATTAGAACGTGGTCAAATTGAAGAATCAACTTCTCCGTGGTCATCACCTATTGTTCTAGTTAAGAAAAAAGACAAAACAATGCGATTTTGCATTGATTATCGACGATTAAATGCTATTACAATTAAAGATGCATTTCCATTACCTCGTATTGATGAAATTTTTGATCAATTATCCGATGCAATATATTATACAAAATTTGATTTTAAATCTGGTTATTTTCAGGTACCTCTATCGAAAGAGGACCGTCCAAAAACTGCATTCTCAACTCGCGATAATCATTATCAATTTACAGTACTTCCACAAGGAATTACCAACGGACCCGCAACTTTCCAACGTGTCATTAATCACATATTAGGACCCGCACGATGGAAATATGCATTAGCTTATATTGATGATGTAATTATATATTCTAAAACATTCGAAGAACATTTATTACATCTCAATGAAATTTGTACAATATTAAAAAATGCTCGATTTCGTCTTAATCCAGATAAATGTGAAATTGCTCGAACACAAAGAGAGTATCTTGGACATCAAATTAACAATGGTGAAATTCGTCCAAGCCCTCACAATATTAATGGTTTATTAAATACAAGATTACCACAAACTCCAGATGAAGCTTGCAAATTTGTTAAAGCAGCTGAATATTATCGGAAATTTATACCAAATTTTTCTCAAATCGCCGAACCACTAAGAAAATTTGTTCCGACTACAAGAACTCAACAAAAGAAAGGACAAAAAACTATTATTACCTTAAAAATTGATGAAATTAAAGCCTTCGAACAACTTAAACTTTATCTTACAACTGATCTAGTATTACGGCTTCCAAATAATAGATTCCCATTTAAAGTACAAACTGATGCATCTGATGAGGGAATCGGTGCAGTATTATTACAAATTTATCCAGACGGTGATAGACCAATTGCATTTCTTTCGAAAAAATTTACTCAAGCACAACGTAAATGGTCTCCTATGGAGCAAGAATGTTATGCATTTATATGTGCATTACGTAAACGGCATAACTATTTAAGTGGAATTAAATTTGTATGGGAAACTGATCATAAAGCATTAACACAATTAAATCAAAAAGCTCAAATTAATAAACGATGTGAAAGATGGAGATTAAAAATTTTAGAATATGATTTCAAGGTGAAATATATTCCTGGATTAACAAATTCGATGCCTGATTACTTATCAAGATCTCCAGTTGACGATGCTGAAGAAGATCCTGATGACATTTCACACCTTATTTCAAAATCAACACAAACTGATTTTCCAAATGATAATAATTATTCATCTATTGTCACAGCTGTTGAAACTCGTGCTATGAAATTACGAAATCAAACTTTAAATGATACAAATGATAATAAAAAATTACAATCAGATTCTCTAAATAATTCCATTGAAGAGAATCGAATTATTTCATTTTCAATTGAAGATTTAATGCAAGCTCAACAAATTGATAATTATGCAAAAAATATTCTAAACAATATCAAGAAATATAAAAATTATATTATAAAAAATAATCTTTTAATGCGTCGATCAAAAACTCCAGTTCCTTATGTACCACAAGGTGATCTCCGAAGAACAATTTTACAAATTTATCATGATACTGCAGCAAATGGTGCTCATTTTGGAAGAGATAAAACAATACATAAAATTAAACAGCGTTACTTTTGGCCATCAATGTATAAAGATATTAATAATTATATTAAATCATGTATTCTATGTACACAATTTAATCCTCGTCGACAAAAAAATTCTGGTACATTAAGACCTATTAAACCTCCTGATGGAGTATGGCAATTAGTATCAATGGATTTTCATGGACCTATTACTCCAACAACTCAACGTGGAAATAAATATATTATATCTCTTACTGATGTTTTATCAAAATTCGTCGTTACTGAAGCTGTACGTGATAATACAGTTCAATTGCTGTTAGATTTCTTAAAGAAGATATTTTATCAAAACTTGGAACTCCTCGTTGTATTCTTACTGACAATGAAACTCATTTTACTTCAACATTAATTGATGAATTAATTAAATAAATTGGAGCAACACATTTATATTCAACACCATATCATCCTGAAACTAATGGTCAAGTTGAAAGATACAATTCAACTATGGATGCAAAAATTGCAGCCTTATCAAATTTACGAAAAACAGATTGGGATGATCAACTACCATTCGTTACATTTAACTATAATACTTCAATTCATTCCTCAACAAAACAAATACCCTTTGAAATGATGTATGGTCGATCGCCTGTCTTACCATTTGATTATCAAGATACANAAAAAAAAAAATTATATGTTGATCGAACCAGTGCTGAGATATTTGGGATGCCAAATGAGCCATTTTTGACCCTTTTTCGGTTCATATCTCCCGGAAACCTGAAGATTTCGGGCTGAAAATTTTATGGTAGACTTCTGTTTCTAGCGCCAACATATCCTGAAAGTTTCATCTAATTTGAACGTTCCTAGGCTAAAATAGACTTTTGAGGGGGGGGGCCTTAATAAACGTCAAGCTAAAGTACTACTTATAAATGCTCACAATCGACAACAAATATTACCAAGAAATACACGAATCGGAACTATTTCTCGTGAAACAACATATTCAATATTTACAACAACAGAATCTTCAATAACACACAATTCTTTTTTACATGGAAACTTTCAAAGGTCACCTCGATCTTTAAAAAATTTTAAAAGCGGAGCTGTCTTAAACAAAAAAGACAACTCGAATTCAACAAAATTAAATGTTACTTGTGATTTATGTAATGAATATTTTTTATCTGGAAATGATTTACAGAAACATATACGAGCAAAATGTTATTCCGATCAGATTCGAAAGCACATACTCGAATCGACCAAACATATAGAAAATGAAAAACATCGTTTAGCAATTCAAGATATATTATGGCGAAATAAAATATTATTTGATCCTACACCATCAATTATTAATATTCCATCACAATCAGCAATCAGAACTGGTGATCATCCACCTATTTATTCGAAATAATATTCTGCTTCATATAAAGATCAAGATATAAAATTTCAAGAAACACAAAAATTATTAGAACGAGGTCAAATCGAAGAATCGACTTCTCCATGGTCATCACCTATTGTTCTTGTTAAGAAGAAAGATAAAACTATGCGATTTTGTATTGATTATCGACGCCTCAATGCTATTACAATTAAAGATGCTTTTCCACTTCCTCGGATCGATGAAATATTTGATCAATTATCTGATGCAGTATATTATACCAAATTTGATTTTAAATCTGGCTATTTCCAGGTACCTCTCTCTAAAGAGGACCGTCCGAAAACTGCATTCTCAACCCGTGATAACCATTATCAATTTACAGTACTTCCACAAGGTATTACGAATGGACCCGCAACATTTCAACGTATAATTAATCATATATTAGGACCCGCAAGATGGAAATATGCATTAGCTTATATCGATGATGTTATCATATATTCGAAAACATTTGAAGAACATTTAACACATCTTAATGATATTTGTACAATGTTAAAAAATGCTCGATTTCGTCTTAATCCGGAAAAATGTGAAATTGCTCAAACTCAAACAGATTATCTTGGACATAATATAAAAAATGGTGAAATTCGTTCAAGTCCTAATAACATCAATGGTCTATTAAATACAAGATTACCACAAACGGCAGATGAAGCTTGCAAATTTGTTAAAGCAGCTGAATATTATAGAAAATTTATTCCAAACTTTTCACAAACTGCTGAACCACTTCGAAAATTTGTTCCAACTACAAGAACTCAACAAAAGAAAGGACAAAAAACTATTATTACATTAACTGATGATGAATTAAAAGCATTCAATCAACTTAAACAATTTCTTACAACAGATATAGTATTACGACTTCCAAATAACAGATCCCCTTTCAAAGTACAAACTGATGCATCGGATGAGGGGATCGGTGCAGTATTATTACAAATTTATCCTGAAGGAGATAGACCTATTGCATATCTCTCAAAGAAATTTACTCAAGCACAACGTAAATGGTCTCCAATGGAACAAGAATATTATGCTTTTATTTGTTCATTAGATAAATGGCATAATTATTTAAGTGGAATTAAATTTGTATGGGAAACTGATCATAAAGCATTAACACAATTAAATCAAAAAGCACAAATTAATAAACGATGCGGACGTTGGAGATTAAAAATCTTAGAATATGATTTCAAAGTTAAACACATTCCTGGTTTAACAAATGCGATGCCTGATTATTTATCAAGATCTCCAGTTGATGATGCTGAAGAAGATCCTGATGAAGTTTCACTTCTTATTTGAAAATCAACACAAACCGATTTTTTAGACATTAATAATCATTCATCCATCGTTACAGCTGTTCAAACTCGTGCTATGAAATTACGAAATCAAACGTCAAATGATAAAGATGATACAGCAATATTAACGCCAGATACTCTAAATAAAGAGAATCGAATAATTCCAATTTCAACCGAACAATTAATACAAGTTCAACAAAATGATAATTACGCAAAAAATATTCTGAACAATATCAAGCATTATAAACATTATATTATAAATAATAATCTTTTGCTACGTCGTACGAATCCTCCAGTTCCTTATTTACCACAAGGTGATCTTCGAAAAACAATTCTGAATATTTATCATGATACTGCAGCCAATGGTGCCCATTTCGGCAGAGACAAAACTATGCACAAAAATTAAGCAACGTTATTTCTGGCCTTCAATGTATAAAGACATTGATAGTTATGTTAAATCATGTATTTTATGTGCTCAATTTAATCCTCGTCGACAAAAAACTCCTGGTACATTAAAACCTATTCAACCTCCTGATGGAGTTTGGCAATTAGTATCTATGGATTTTCATGGACCTATTACTCCAACAACTCAACGTGGAAATAAATATATTATATCTCTTACCGATGTATTATCAAAATTCGTCATTACAAAAGCTGTACGTGATAATACAACTCACACAGCTGTTAGATTTCTCATAGAAGATATTATTTGAAAATTTGGAACGCCTCGATGTATTCTTACTGATAATGGAACACATTTTACGTCAACAATGATGGATGAATTAATTAAACAAATTGGAACAACACATCTTTATTCAACACCTTATCATCCGCAAACCAATGGTCAAGTTGAACGATACAATTCGACAATGGATGCGAAGATCGCAGCTTTATCAAATTTACGTAAAACCGATTGGGATGATCAATTGCCATTTGTTACATTCAACTACAATACCTCAATTCATTCTTCAACAAAACAAATACCTTTCGAAATGATGTATGGTCGATCGCCTGTTTTACCATTTGATCATCAAGATACAAATGTTACATTATCATATGATCCTGAACACTCGAAGAAATTAAATCAATTTTTAGCAAAATTGAATGAACAAGCTAAAATTAATATTATTAAGAATCAAGAAAAATACAAACAAGGTTATGATGTAAATCGTACAAATCCTATATACCACATCGGTGACTTAGTTCTTTGTAAAACACTCAACATCCGTTATAAATTCGATATTCGTTACGAAGGACCATTTAGAATTATTACAAAACTTACACCTAAAACATTCATTATTCAACACATAAAAAAGTTAACATTATATCGCCAAGTTACAACTGACGTGTTACTTCCAATATTTGAACGAAATTTCCAATAACAGGACCTCTCACATAGAGATCCGTTCAAAAATAAATGTCAAATACAATGGAGTAATTAATTGTTATTAGATTAACCTGATGAGATATGATTTAGCATAGCATGGTCGGGGAATGTGAATTTCCTCAATTCACTGATTATGAAGGGCTATTATATTTAATTTGGAATATATCTAATTATTATTATTAGTCCATGATGCGGAATTTTATTTATTGATTAAATATTTTATTTAATTATTTCTGTCAGATCCTCACTTGATCACTGAGAATTGAAATAGAATATGAAATCTCGTATCACTCTTATTGGCATATCCCACACTAAATGATACTATATAAAATAAATAAAATAATTTTTTCTTCCTCATTATTTCATTAATATCATTAATCATAGATTTCTATGTCCTATGAGAATCGATCAGCATTAATTTTAGATTCACTATTTAGTGAATCGATAAATGTTAAATATAATTTTTTTCTTTCGCTATTGCAGTTATGTTATCTACAACAGAATATAACAAAATTAAATGGCAACTTGATCATATACTAGCAACAATTACCGGCCCACCACGACAACACCTTCGTACTACATTTAAAAAGAAACTTCATGAACATAAATTAGCTACAACATATCCACCTTTTCAACAGTCGAATTACGAACAATTTTTTATAAGTTTTCGAACAAATGATTCAACATTACATCATCTTATCGAACAGGTTAAATCATCAACAATATTTACACTTGATACAGAATCAATAATTATTCCTCACAAACCGAACAAACCGGCATTGATTCAAATTCAAATTATTTTATCTCATTCATTTTCATATGTAATTTTCATTGAAGTTTGCCATTTACCACCTACAAATCAACCAACGTTTCAACTAATCGAAACATTCTTTCAAACATTATTTAATATTAATAACAATATTTTTATTTGGGGAGATAAAAATGAACTCGATGGTTTTCTTTCTTTTAATTTATTTACATATGATGATATTAATTCATTCAATGATAGAAATCTTCAAAGTGAATTTAAAAACTACTGGAATAGAAAACATCCACACCAATTAAAATCTTCATCATCAACAAATGATTCAGAATGTATATGTGAATCATGTTTAGGATTACAGTCTAACAACACTTGGTCTTTACAGAATGCTGTGGCTTATGAATTACATCAATGGTTAGACAAACGTAAAACCAAATCAAGCTTTGACATTGGTCTCGATCCACATTTATATCATTTTAATTCAAGCGAACTTGAATATCGTCAATCATTAACTCAATACGCGACGTATGATTGTTTATCGATGCAACAACTGCTTCTTAAATTAAATTTAGTTACTAGTCAAGAATTAATTGTTGATTCTTTAAATGAAATTGATATAATTATATCGAATGATTTAACTCCACCAAGTCCACATACATCAAATATTCCAATAACAATTAATATCTCACAACAACAATCGAATCAAGCAGCATCAGCTATAACCGTATTAATTCAAACCGCAAATGATAACATGAATGATTTAGAAGCTGTCTCGTCTGATGATGATGAACATCAACAACGTGAAATATTAAATGAACAACAACGTAACCCATTAACTATTCAAGAAAGGAAAAAGATTCATAATCGTAGTAATACATTGAAACAATGGCAACGATCATATAAACATGAAATCATACAACGTGATATAGATAAACGATTTACAATTACCGATATTAAAAATATTCTTCGACAACATTCTATTAAATTTTGCGCCGTCAACACTTCAATATCACCAACAACAAATAAAAAATCGCTATATATTGGAATAAAAAACAAAAATCTATTATCAAATTATAAAGAACAAACGAAACAGTTATTTACAACTACACATTATAAACAATACAAACATGTATTTAGATCATCTAATTATAAAGATGATCGACGTAATGGTTATCAGCGTCGAAATCAAACAAGTTGAACATACTGTTACTGGCATAATAAACGTATGAAACTTCGTTCATTTTCTTCATATATATATAAATGTGTAGAATAATCGTTGACTTCGTCACATTTACACTTGATTAATTGTTAAATTACATGAAAAGTCGTTATATTTTTTTTCTCTCGTTATTTTCTGTTATATATTTTTTTCTCGTTATTTTCTATTTGAAACTAAATCAGAGACATTTAAACCGCTAATTGTTTAACAACTAAAAATGTTTTGTATATCTTGAAGTGTTCGTTATACACGTTTTCTTTTCTTTTATTGATATATTATAGTATTCATATCTAGTCGTTATTTTGTTTTGTTATTTTTATTTCTATATAAAAATGTTGATAGAACACATTTTTTCATCCAGTATGGGAGTATGTTACAGTAATGTCGCACGTATACATGCTCGATATATATATATATATATGATCCTCTATTATCTATCATCTTCTTTGACCTTGAACTGTTTTCTCTTCTCTTCTCTTCTCGCTCTCTCTTCTTCTCTCTATATGTACATGTTACGATTATAACTTAAGGACATTCTTGTTAAATAAAGTTAGCGTACAAGCATACGCACAGCAAAGATATACAACTAACCCTAACAGAATGACTGCGAAATTTATTTATTGCACGAATCGACCCACCTTATATACACACTAGAGATAACAATAATAGAAGAGCGAAAGAAAATAAGAGACTAGAGAACAGATAGAAATACAGATCATATTGTACGAAAAAGGAGTATATGATTACATATACAGAAAAGAGAGATATTAATACAATGGACGGTAGGATGTAGCAGTATCACACAATGTGAGCAGTGAAATAATACAATTACAGATGCTGCTTAGCGCGTGATAAGTCAAATAAATTCAATGGTGAACGATAGCAACAAGATAGTTATATCACTTCTCTTATCTTTCAAAGCACAAGTCATGCTTTTCAAGGCTTTTGTGCTGTGCAATGCAGTCACCACGATGTGTAAACAGTTTTTTTAAGTTAGGCATTCTATTTGCTCTTTTCTGTTTCTTGAATATCTGATGAATCATAGTGTTAGTACGAACGATCGCACAAATGGGTTCAACTTTTTTCTAACGAGAATCAATGTTAGACTAATTTGGTGTAGCATACAATACAAGGGTTCAGAATGAATTTCTTGTGAATATATATTATTGATTTACACGGTGCTCGCGTCTAGAAAAGTAAATTATACCTTATAGACGTCATTTACATTTACACCGACGCCCGCACTCTTGTTTAGATTTAGAAGAGGTTAAAATGTAGGCAAAAAGATCTGATAACTGTTGCAGAGTGTACTTTCATTCTCGGTTCACCAGAAGTGGTGATCTGAGGAAAGCATTGAGAAGAATGATGTCTACTGTGACCCGATCACTCATCAGTAGATGCCTTGCCTCAATCCTGTTCACATCACAACGACATTTGCTACCAATTTTATTTCATTCTCTGTTAGACAGTAGCAAATAGTGTTTCAGCATTCGGTTCCATTGGAGAAGTGTTAGGCCCTCCATTGAGAACTCTGCTTTGAAGGAAAATTTTTTTTTTCAAATTTTTAAAGTAGTTGTTTTATTTCCAAGATGAACATCATTGGAATATTCAGATTAATTTTGAGTTCGTTCTGTTTTGATTAACTACCATACGAAGTGTGTAACAGAGTATCATATGGATGCAACATGTGACAGCTATCAAGCACTTTTAAAATTGAAACCAGAACTAAGAGTAATAAGGTATAACATAGTTAAATCTACACCACCATAAATTAAAAATTTTCAAGCATTCTAACATCGTGAACCTCTCTTCCTATTGTATTCAAAGAAAATCTCAATTTTAAACCATATTTCTCGGTTAAACAACTAATTGATCGATATGAAGGATGCAATATAGTCAAATATAAATATGGTTTCTCTTTCTGTTGTCTCCGTTTAAAGACTGATCATACAGATAGTAAGTCATTGTGATATGTATGAATTTACATGAAAAACAAAAATGATTGGCATCGATCGAATAAATTCAAATTTCTTTGTTATTTTTTAGTTCATAACCACTATAGCGATAAAAACTCCTCGTATTATAATAAATGTTTTTCAGTAAGATAACACGCTGAAAGAGAAAGTATAAGAAAATAACGATAATTACACATTCTTTTTCTAGCTTTGATTAAACTTATCTACTTGCACAATTTGTTAGCAATGTTTTTATTTGTTTCTTCGAACAATATCATTATTTGTTATGCGAAATTCGCTGTATCAATTGGGTATGGGTGCGAATGAGGCTTCCATCCACACACACACTCACCTATGTCCTATACTACAAGCATTCGCATGCACAACCTATGGAAGTCCCACGCTGCTGATTCATGTAAGTCATTGTGTAAGAAATGTATATTCGCTGATAAGACATTTGTTGTTGTTGCTGATAAAGAGAAGAAGAATAAAAAGAAACAGTAAAGAAGAGTTACTTTTATTTCATCGTAAAATAAAGAGTGTATTTGCAAATGACGCGAGCACACCCGAACACCATCAAACTAAAAACTTATACTTTGAATGCACAGAACGTCTTGAAATGAGTTCATGCAGATCCAGTACCTATTGATTAGAAATATTTTTCCTTAAAATACTGGTTTCTGCTTGCCATCAGCCTTCAAAACTCGAGCGCAACGAACGTCAGCTCCAAAACATTAGGTCTTACTGCAATTCCCTTCTAAGAACAAAGATCTGATCTTTTGGAATTGAACTTCATTGCTGGGTGTTCATGAACAGATCTCGAGGTGCTCTATGTATTGAGAGTTTTGGTTTTTAATTTGGAGATGTTCGCATCTTTTACGAATATTCAAAGTAAGCTATGTACGGGGTTAGTAAAAACATTTTTTTCAGGATGGTAAAGCTGAAACTACAAATGATATACACAATGAATTCTATAGCAAATTAATATTTATTCAGAATGGAATGAGCCTTATTCACACTTTGCTTGTTGGCCACACATACAGTGAAAATTGACCACAAACATACATGTTTGTTGCTAAGAGCGGTTCCCTTTCTTTAATGCTTTTGTTTCTGTCTCGTTCTCTCTTGCCCTCCTCTTTCTCTCTCTCTCTCTCTCTCTCTCTCGCCTCGCTGATATATGTTAAGTTTTGTTGTAATGATAATGATAGTGGACCTTGATTGATGACACGTGCCGAAAGTGGTATACGACCATCAGTAACATGTCGAGGTAAAGTAATAGAAGCTACAGCTGTGCTCTGTTGATTATATTTTATAAGAAGTTGGCGTAGAGTTGTTGTTGCTTCAGATATATGAATATCTGATTTGAGAAATTTTAAATATTTTGATTTATCTTCTTCTTCTTTATTGTGTCTTAGAGATGTAAAGTTAATATCTAATATATTCATTGGCTTCGATGATTTACGAGTAGGTTGGTGCCATTGTTGAAGTCGCTCCTTGCATGCTTCGTAAAATTTATTTTCATCATAATCTAATAGAGCGAAGCATAGTGCGGCTACATGTTTACATGCCGCTCGCTCACCTTTTCCAGCGACACATTGGCATGTTGATTGTAAAATATCAGCTGGTCTATTGATGTTGATTATAACGTGTAACTTAAAAATAAAATCAGTTTTGATACACTTACCTCGTATGTGACTGACTTTTTCATTTGAGCGCGACATTTTGCCGATTTTTTTCTCTTTATGTAATCTCGAGCAATAGTGATGTTATAAATGAAATGATCATTGAATAAAAGATTTCCATTTTTTAATGCTCCTCGATCAAGATTTCCATTACTAGCTAATACTGTTGAAAAATAATCGGTGATTGATTCCAAATCCATATTAAATGATTTTTTATAATCAACGATGGAAAGGACGTGAGAAGATGACATATTCATGTAATCAGGGCAACGTAAAAGTGGAAAAAAAAGATGACATTTTTCCTTACCATTAAGACTAATTAACTTTTCAAGCAAGATTAGAACATAAAAGGGCGACAGGAGGAATTGTTGATTAGCTTACGACTATCAGTTTTTACAATTTACTGTAATGAATATATTGTATTATTTGAGTTTCATTATCGTATTGATAAATGAGATTGGATTACCGTTCCTAAACTTGTATCGTTTCAAGTTGAATCGTCATTTCTATTTACAAAATGGTGAAAAGGTGTGTCGTTTGTCTCAAACAAGACACTCGGTCTACTACCTCTTCTTTTCATCGATTTCCAGCTGATAAAAATTTACAACAACTTTGGCTTACCATACTCAATCGACTTGATCTAACTGATGTATCGAATCATCGAGTTTGTAATAGTCATTTCGATTCATCTTCTTTTAAAATCAATAAAAATAAAAATATGCTTATTACTAAAAATTCGAAGCGGTTGAAACATGGTGCTCTACCTATAAATTTAACCACTTCTACTCAATCTACACATTCAACATGTTCTGTCTCAACTCAACCTGAGTTAGACTTGAATAATTTATCAAATTTACTTGAAAAGCTATCTTTATATGAACAAAAAATATTTCATACAACGATTTGTATTGAGCGATTTCGGGATGGTGATACTAATATTAAATATTTCACTGGCTTTCGATCATATAACATGTTTTGTTTAGTTTTTGAATTATTACAGGTGAATTATTTACGATTATTCAATCTTCTTTCTTTTCAACAAAAAATTTTGATAAGCGTTTATATTTTTTTTATATGATATAGAAAATGCACACTTTAAGGAAAAAATAAAATATATATCAGCGAGGCGAGAGAGAGAGAGAGAAGAGAGCAAGAGAGAACGAGACAGAAACAAGAGCATTAAAGAAAGGGAACCGCTCTTAGCAACAAACATGTATGTTTGTGGTCAATTTTCACTGTATGTGTGGCCAACAAGCAAAGTGTGAATAAGGTTCATTAATACGCATAGTCAGTAATTGTTATGATGATTACTGGCTGTAGAATTCTGAAATTTTACAGAATGTAATGCTATGACTTTCCAGTAGCGAGTCATAGGACGAAAAAGATAAGTCGTGACTTTTGAACGCACTTTTTCTTGGCAATAGTCTCTTTGTGGTCAAGTAGTTGGGTCTAAACGATATGACTTTCTATCGTATTACTTTATTACCGTGTTTGAATAGATTAATAAGTGAGCCACTAGTGTCGATAACTAGTACCATCTTGCAGGATTTCGACTCCCAGACAACACTTTCCAAGGGTAGGATAGGAGAAAAATATCATGCTCACAGTAGTGTCTTCATCACATATTGCTATAAAAAACAGTGTTGAGATGCTGCAATTGTTCCTTTAAATAGAGTACAGATCAAGACAAAAGTGCACGCTCTTAAGAATTATTATTCTTCTAAGACATAAAAAAAATATTAGAGTTATTCTTAACTATTTGTATCATCATAATTATTTTCTTTTAATTGTTCTGATGATATATATATCTCACGGAAGTGTTGTCGATAAGAATGACTCTTCTTTCTTGTTAAACACATTTCAATTACTTTTTCTCTTTGTCAGATAAGTGATCACTTGATTACTGAAGAAAAAGTCAAAGATACTGTGTACCTTTGATTGCTCATGTCTGAACCAGGTAAGTCATAGAGAATACTCTAATTTTTAAAATTGTTGATTGCTCATATTTCTTTTAGCTTTGAACAAAATTTGTAAGGCAGATGAAAACGGTAATGTTTATTACGATACATCAAGTGGAAAATTTCCTGTTCAAGTTCGAGAAGCTAAACAAGATGATCTTGAGAGTATAGTGAATTTAAAAAACGAGGCATTTTCAACGCACAATGAGTATAATTATCAATGGATACTGAGTAATTGGAATAGACCTGAACAAAAATGCAGCCGATGGTATGTTATTACGTATAGTCGAGAAGATGGTCAAGAAAGTCAAGTAATTGGTTTCATATTTTGGCGAATTCGAGCAGGTTTCGAAGTACGATTGACTGTTGAATTGGATCAAATAGCAGTAGATAAAAGTTATCGCCGTCAAGGATTTGCTACGACTCTTATTCGTCGATCATTAATCAAATTTCAGGAATTTACACAAGCAAATTTTTCAAGTTTGAAACCACGAATCAGTTTTGTGTTTGTTATAACAGGCGAGCAAAATCCGTCTCAAGAATTATATAAGAAAACACTTGGTCTTGAACGTAAAGGAAAAATAGGTGCAATATTCGGTGCAAGTGGTGAAAAAATCATCATGGCTAATGAAAATATAGAACAGTTTTTGGATGATTCTCACAACACCCAATACTAATAAATCAAAAGATAGTCTATTCTGTTAAATGCCTTCTCAACTAAAATTCGTAACATTTTTGATGAATTGAAAATGAACTAACTAGGGAACCTTCCAAGGTGCGGGAGCGCTTTTCAATCGGGGTTTCGTGCATCTTGTAGCCCGTAGTGAGTTATGCTTACGATAAAAAAAAGTTCCGGTTTCTGGCTTGTTTCTGGGGCGATATCGAGCTCTTAGTGGATTTTCTCTATTGTATGCCTACAGTGGCAGCAAAGCTATTCTTTCGAATTTTGACCTGAAACTTTGCCTGCATAAAGGCATCAGCTAGACTAGTTTGCATAAAAAATTTCAGAAGTTTTGAATAAAGTCTCTCTAAGATATGAAGCTTTGAAAAAAATGCATACTATATATATTATTGATGAAAAAGGGACTATACCTTGATAGTTTCATATCTNGTCATCAGGATTGAAAGGGTTAAAGTCTATTACGAGTAAAGAAGAAATCTGATAAACAAAAGTAGAATGGTCCTTCATATACACATTTTTATGGTTAAAAAGTCAAATGACTTGAAAATATTCTCATACCTTTTGTTTTTATAATTTTGTTCGTTTTTCATATATACCTGTGGAGTTTTTCCCAAATTGTTAGGTTGACGACATAGTAAACTGAAAGTATCACAGAATTTATGTGAAAAGAACCATTTTAGAATGTAGTTTAATGCAAAAATTAATTACCCGTCAACTTACAAGTCTTTAGCTTCGATTTTTCACATAACTTAGGTCGTCAAAACGCTGAATGACATATTTACGAATGATGACGATCTCGTCGATTTACTGCTATTTCTTGACCGTCAAGGAAACAATAGTACATATATGAATACATTATCTGCTCTGGTTGGCAATGACAGAAGATTCGGGATGATGGCCGAACGCTATCTCCAAGAAAGTCGTAGGGGTGTGGTTGTTAATACTAATGATGGTAATCGCATGACAGATGAAGAATTTTATAGACATATCTCCCAATTACCAATGGTTATTGTTCCTGGTACACAGAGCAATTATCTGCACAGTTACACCGAAACTGGAATGCCAGTTCTCAATCTCGTTCAGGGTATACGTGCAATTCCAGCCGAACGGCAGGCAATTATTATATCAAAAATAATGAGTACAGTCCACTCTGTGGCTGGAGAAAGTTCTCTAATAGCTGTGTCAACATCCCAGGCACTCACACGTGCTCAGACAATTGCTGGTAAAGTAGTCCCGATAGCCATTGTGGGCGTTCAATTATCATGGGAAGCTTAAAAAAGTATTCGTTCGTGGTGGCATGGGGAAATATCTGGTAAACGATGTGCAAAGCAAATTATTGACACGAGTGCAGGGATACTTGGTGGTTATGCTGGCGGAGCTGCAGGAATGGCTATTGGTACAGCTGTATTGCCTGGTTACGGTACGTTGGTCGGTGCTGTCGTTGCAGGTGTTGCTGGTTCTTTCGGTGCTTCAGCATTGGTAGAATGGTTGACAGAATATTTCTTTGATGTACCGAAAAGTGTTGCAGTAGAGAATGCTTACAAGTTTTTGACCTTGTCACCGTCCTGTTCGAATGATGAAATTAATGGAAGATATCGAACATTGGCACTTCGGTATCATCCAGACAAAGGTGGAAATGCTGAGGATTTCCACAAATTGCAAATTTCAGTAGCGATAATTAAACAAGCACGTGGACAGGTAGTTTAGAACGTATGACTTTTACTAGAAACATGGTAAGTTAGATACGAATGAATATTTGTTGCCGTCTTTAATTTATCTTTCTCTGTTGTAGATTCTAACAAACTTCAGTATTGTGAACACAAAATAATCATGAATATTGTTAGAGGGATGTCGCTCCTATCTGTCTATTCTATTATCCTCTATCTTTTCTTCACTTTCGTATACTACTACTATTCGATTTGTTCTTATATATATATGTAAACGTGTTGATGGATAGGGAGAATAAATAAAGATCGTGTGAAGGACACACATATAGAGAATATATCTCTAACAATTGGCGACCCTGGCAAACAACATCGGCATAAAAAAGAAGAAAAAGATTTTTAACATCACATCAATTCATATTAATTAATCGATCATATTGCATAGAGCCTTTTAAAAAAGAGACTCGAATATCATAACTAAAGCCTCTATAAAAGAGACTTGCATTTGATTCAAATCTAGAACCTCAGAAAAGAGACTCGATAAAATCTATAATCCCATTCGAGCAATTAATTAATTATCATTACATTTAATTACCTATTAATAATACATACATAACGGCTACCGGTACCAGATCTCAAATTCGAAAAAACAATCTCGAATTGATTCCGTATACCGCAATAACACATCCATTAACTCGCACATCTTTACATTCGAATTCTATTGAAACTTCCACAAACAATTCTAAGAAAATGGCTGATCAAACATTATTAGCAAAAGCTCGTAAAGCTAGATTTGATGATCTATCAAATTTTTCCGGACATCCTTCTGAGGACGTCGAACAGTTTTTGAAAAGTATAACAAATTTAACCAAAGCTAATGACGAATCCAGCAATCATGAAGTTTTGGAAATTGCTCGTGGCAAATTAACTCGATCGGCTGGTAAATGGTTCGATGATAACGAATCTAATTTTAAAAAATGGTCCGATTTCGAAACTGCATTTCGAAATCGATATTTTCCTGCAACATTAACTCATAAGAAATTTGATGCATTAAAACAACGTAAACAATTACCTGACGAACCAATTACATCTTATTTCGATGATATCGTTAATCTATGCCGAGAAACTGATTTAAATATGTCAGAACAAATCATCATTCAATATTTAATGAGTGGAATTAATCCTGATTTCAAAAAGGAACTTTCTCGACGTGAATCATCAATAACTACATTAAATGAATTTTTAAAATTTGCAAAGATCGAACAGGATCTATATGATGCTTTTGAAAAGTCTCAATATTCATCATCAATTGAATCTCAACAACCTTATTTTGATTATAATCGCTCATCCATTCCTTCATTAACCGCGATGATTAATAAATCCGATCAACATTATCATCATATGAAACAAAATGATCGTCGTTCATATCCTATATCAACACAGAGATCCGTTTCACGACAGAACTCGATTCCTCAATCTGGAAATCAATCAACAATGATGTCGAATAAACAAATTCCTTATAATTCTCAACCATTTACGTATAAACAAACGTCGATCAATCGTCAACAAACATTACAAAATAAATTTTCGAATTGTAAAATTTGTAATCGAACAAACCATCGAACAATTGATTGTTTTCATAAATATACAACCGGATGTTTTAAATGTGGTCAACCAAACCATACCATTCGGAATTGTACAATGCTTCAAAATTTTCAATAACTGGGTCACACGATGGCGGTGTTCCCAGTAAATTTATTAAGCCATCAACAATTTTCTCTCCCATTTACATCAAAATTCGTGTTAATAATCAACCAACTGACGCAATTGTTGATACAGGCCGCCATTTCAATCATTCATTTAAACTTTCTTAAAACCATTCATCATAACAAATTTATATATAAACCTCGTAAATGCCAAACAGCAAATTCAACATCTCTTAATGTAATCGGTGAAATTGAATTAGAAATAAATATTAAACATATTACAACATTCATCATTGCTTATGTCGCAACAAATTTAATTACATCGATTCTCCTAGGCAATGACTGGATTAATTCGAATCAAGTTCACCTTTTTGGTGATCAACAACGCTTAACTATTCCTGATCAACATCATCAATTAATTTCAATTCCATATATGGAACCTATGTGTATTCATTATCCCGCACATTTAGTTAATCAAATTACACTTCCTCCTAATTCACAAATGTTCGTTCATGTTAAATCACAAATTAATAATGCAAAAGATTTGATATTTGAACCATATGGACGTCATATATCTAAATTTATTTTTATCCCTCATACATTACTAAATATTCAAAATCATACATCAAAAGTCTTACTGATAAATGCTCATAATCATTCACAAACATTATCAAGAAATACACGAATCGGAACCCTTTCTCGGGATGCAACATTTGCAATATTTACAACAACACAACATCCTGTGGAACATAAATCGTTCTCAAATAAACATAATCACTTCACATCTCAATGTTCTCGTAATACAAGAACCGGAGCTGTCTCATATAATGAGGACAACTCGAATCGAATTACATTAGATACTTATTGTCATGAATGCAATGGATATTTCTTATCCGGTAATGATTTACAAAAGCATCCACGAGCACAATGTTATTCGGAACAAATTCGAAAACAAATAAACGAATCAACTGCACATCTAGTAAATCCTAAACATCGATTAGCAATTCAAGATATATTATGGCGAAATAAAATATTATTTGATCCAACACCGTCGATTATTAACATTCCTCCACAATCTGCTATTAAAACTGGTGAACATCCACCTATTTATTCGAAACAATACTCCGCATCAAATAATGATCAACAACTTAAATTTCAGGAAACACAGAAATTATTAGAACGCGGTCAAATTGAAGAATCAACATCTCCATGGTCATCACCTATTGTTCTCGTTAAGAAGAAAGATAAAACCATGCGATTTTGTATAGATTATCGTCGACTAAATGCAATTACAATCAAAGATGCATTTCCACTTCCTCGTATCGACGAAATATTTGATCAATTAACTGACGCAATATATTATACAAAATTTGACTTTAAATCGGGATACTTTCAGGTCCCTCTATCTAAAGAGGACCGTCGGAAAACTGCTTTTTCAACCCAGAACAATCATTATCAATTTATTGTACTCCCACAAGGAATAACTAATGGTCCCGCATCATTTCAACGCGTTATTAATCATATATTAGGACCTACAAGATGGAAATATGTATTAGCATATATTGATGATGTCACCATATATTCCAAAACCTTTGAAGAACATTTAATCCATCTTAATGAAATTTGTCAAACATTACGACAAGCTCGTTTTCGTCTTAATCCAGATAAATGTGAAATTGCTCGAACGCAAACAGATTATCTTGGTCATCGTATTCAACATGGTGAAATTCGTCCAAGTCCTACTAATATCAATGGTTTATTAAATACAAAATTACCACAAACTTCAGATGAAGCTTGTAAATTTGTCAAAGCTGCTGAATATTATAGAAAATTTATTCCAAATTTTTCTCAAATCGCCGAACCCCTTCGAAAATTCGTACCAACTACTAGAACTCAACAAAAGAAAGGACAAAAAACTTACATTACATTAACAAATGAAGAAATTAAAGCATATGAACAACTCAAGCATTTTCTTACAACGGATTTGGTGTTACGTCTTCCAAATAATAGATTCCCTTTTAAAGTACAAACAGATGCTACTGATGAGGGAATCGGTGCTGTTTTATTACAAATCTACCCAGAAGGAGATAGACCTGTTGCATATATTTCCAAGAAATTTACTCAAGCACAACGTAAATGGTCTCCGATGGAACAAGAATGTTATGCTTTTATTTGTGCATTAGATAAATGGCATAATTATTTAAGTGGAATTAAATTCGTATGGGAAACTGACCATAAAGCATTAACACAACTGAATCAAAAAGCTCAACTTAATAAACGATGTGAAAGATGGAGATTAAAAATTTTGGAATACGATTTCAAGGTGAAATATATTCCTGGTTCAACAAATTCGATGCCAGATTATTTATCAAGATCTCCCGTAGACGATGCTGAAGAAGATCCTGACAAAGTTATTCCTCTCGCTTCTAGATCAACACAAACCGATTTTGAATCTTATGAAAAATGTCATTCTATCGTTGCTGCTGTCCAAACACGTTCTGCTAAATTACGTAATCAAACGTCTGATAATTCAACAGATACAACAAAATTAGTATCAGATTCTCTTTCGTCTAAACAATTACCAAATAATTCAATTAAAGAGAATCGAATTATTCCATTTTCGATAGAACAATTAATTAAAGCTCAACAAAAGGATGATTATGCAAAAAAGATTATAAATAATATCAAGAAACATAAACAATATATTATAGAAAATGATTGCTTAATACGTCGATTAAATCCTCCAGTTCCCTATGTACCACAAGGTGAACTTCGTCGAACAATATTAAAAATTTATCATGATACTGCAGCAAATGGTGCACACTTCGGACGAGATAAAACAGTACACAAAATTAAAACCCGTTATTTTTGGCCTTCGATGTACAAAGATATTAATAATTACATTAAATCATGTATTCTTTGTGCTCAATACAATCCTCGTCGACAAAAAATTCCTGGTACATTAAAACCGATTAAACCCCCTGATGGAGTATGGCAGTTAGTCTCTATGGACTTTCATGGACCTATTAATCCAACATCTCAACATGGAAACAAATATATTATATCGCTTACCGATGTTTTATCAAAATTCGTCGTTACAAAAGCTGTTCGTGATAATACTGCTCAAACAGCTGTTCGATTTATCAAAGAAGATATTATTACCAAATTCGGTACACCTTGTTGTATACTTACGGATAATGGTACTCATTTTACATCGTCCTTAACGAATGAATTATTTAAATGTATTGGAACAACACATCTATATTCGACACCGTATCATCCTCAAACTAATGGTCAAGTTGAAAGATATAATTCAACAATGGATGCAAAAATTGCAGCTCTTTCGAACTTACACAAAACTGATTGGGATGATCAATTACCATTCGTTACATTTAATTATAACAAGTTAATTCATTCCTCAACGAAACAAGTCCCGTTTCAAATGATGTATCGTCGTAAACCAGTGTTACCATTTGATTATCAAGAAGATAATGTTACTTTATCTTATGATTTGGAACATGCGAACAAGCCAAAATTAACATTATTAAAAATCAAGAACGATATAAACAACGTTATGATATACATCGTTCTAATCCATCGTACAATGTTGGTGATCCCGTTCTCGTTAAAACACTCAACATCCGTTATAAATTTGATATTCGTTATGAAGGACCCTTCCGCATCGTTAAAAAAATTACCGAAAAAACATTTATCGTTCAACACATCAAGAAACCAACATTACATCGTCAAGTTACCACTGATGTGTTATTTCCGATTTTCGAACGAATTCAATAACATCAGGACCTCTTAATAAAGAGATACGATTCACTAATTTATATGTCAAACATTATGGAATAATTAATTATTNTGATAATAAAAAGAGCTTTAATTACAAGGATAATAGAGGAAAAATCTTAAAAATACTGAGAGGTCCATTTTTCCTGGGACACCCGTTATTATTCACTCATCAAACTATCCGTTGCACATGAAAATCAGAAATGTACGCAATATATACATACATTCTAGTGTAAAACTATTTGGATGTTCATATATAAGAAAATTTTCTCGTTTAAAATGCAATTATATCATGTTTTTTTTGTGAACAGTCTTGAGTAAGTCAAACTGCTGATATTTATTAGTCTTTATTTTATTTTCATACACATACTTTAAGAACTAAGAAAATAAAAGCGAACTATTAAACGACGACAATAAAGATCGCAACCGACAACATTTTTTGGATGTGGGGGTGGCTGTGGGTGTCTATCTTCTTTCATTAACACCCACAGCCACCCCCACACCCCGGTATCTTGAAACTTCTTGGTGGTAGTGAATAATTTGTACACAAGCGAATAGACCACGATCCTTTTCTAGCCGTGAGGTTATGAGAAAGTTTCATAACGCTTTTAATTTTATCTACATTAGTCTTACGAATGAAAAATCATTTATTACCTTCTGTGCAACTATTTGAATTTGTTGTGTAGCATTTTCAACTGCTCGTTCATACGATAATTCTCGTTCTTCAATAAATAAAAAAACGAAAATCAAAATCTATATCTGAATCAAAACAACGAAGCACTGAAAGATGTGAGCTTTCTTCTGAATATTATCTAGAATTTATGTAACATTCTAATGATATTGTTTTCTTGGTTTTTAAAGTATGTGTATGTAAATAAAATAAAGACTAATAAATATCAGCAGTTTGACTTACTCAAGACTGTTCACAAAAAAAAACATGATATAATTGCATTTTAAACGAGAAAATTTTCTTATATATGAACATCCAAATAGTTTTACACTAGAATGTATGTATATATTGCGTACATTTCTGATTTTCATGTACAATGGATAGTTTGATGAGTGAATAATAACGGGTGTCCCAGGAAAAATGGACCTCTCAGTATTTTTAAGATTTTTCCTCTATTATCCTTGTAATTAAAGCTCTTTTTATTATCAAAAGATAGCGCTTGAAATTCTCTACCGAACCATATATGACTAGGCTCAAAAACAGTTTTAGATATATTTGAAAAAAGACGAAAACTAAAGACATACAAGCAGTTGTAAAATGTAAATAACGGGTGTCCCATAATAAATGGCTGTCCTTTGCATTTCGTATTTTAATCTATAAATACGTTTTATTAAAAAAACAGAATATAGCATAAGATGTAGCATGAAAAGCTCTACAATCTACAAACTAAAGTTTATTTTAATTGTATACTTTTTGTTTACAAAAAAAAGCAAAATTCTGTATAACCAATTTTCGCCATTGTGAAAAAAATCATTGTTTTTACACGAACGAGAATTCCTTTTTCTTATTTTATCTTTTTATCACTAATATATTTCCTTTAGAAAAACCAAAATATAGCACAAGATGCAGCGTGAATAGCTCTATAATTTACAAAGAACAGTTAATTTTATTTGTGCCATTTTTAAGTTCAAAATAACTTCAAATTCCGTGCGATTGGTTTTCGCAACGGCGAAAATCCGTCGCACAGAGTTTTGCATTTTTCTGGAAACCAAAAGTATACAATTAAAATAAACTTTAGTTTGTAAATTGTAGAGCTTTTCATTCTGCACCTTATGGTATATTTTGCTTTTTTAATAAAACGTATTTAGAGATTACAATATGAAATACAAAGTGCAGCCGTTTATTATTGATGACATATTTACATTTTATCGCTGCTTGTATGTCTTCAGTTTTCGTCTTTTTTCAAATATATTTAAGACAGTTTTTAGGCCTAGTCATATATGATTTTGTAGAGAATTTTAAGCGCTATCTTTTGATAATAAAAAGAGCTTTAATTACAGGGATAATAGAGGAGAAATCTTAAAAATACTGAGAGGCCCGTTTTTCCTGGGACACCCGTTACTTTCAAAGAGAGCAATTAATTATCTTTGAAGAAATAAGATCAAAAAAAGTTTAACTTTGTACGAAACAAGCAGTACAAAATCAAATGTTCTGCAATAGCGATATAGCGAAACGAAGGAATAAAAGAATAGAGGAACGAAGGAATAAGAGAATAGAGTAATAAAGGAAGAGAGAAATAGAGAAATAAGGGAATAGAGGAATAGAGGAATGAAGGAATAGCGACTGACCGACCAGAATATATTTTGCAGCGCTCCCTTACTCTATATTGATGATGTTAATGTTTACGATATCTCTCTATTTCTGTCTTGTTTTTGTTTCGCGTTTGTAACATCTGAAGTCTTGCTATTTGGTTGACAATGATCGTATAACATCGACAGTTTCTACTTTAATTAAAAATTTTCATTAAAACCTTCTACATTTGTGTTAGAGGGATGTCGCTAACATACGAAATAGCTTCATCCTGTCCTCCTTTTATATCATATATCTTCTATATCTTTCTGTCTCTGTCTATTCTTTATCTTCTTTATTCTCTTTCGTCTGATATATATACTTGTTACACTTGTGTTGTTATTCATTCCTTATGGTTATTCAAATAAAAGAAAGTGAAACATAAACACTAACAATTTGTTTCATTCATTAGATAAAAATCTTTTTTATTAACACATGCATAATAGGTTCAAAGTTCTCTTGAGTGCCGACAGATCAATCTTAGCAGCGGAAATTCACATCAAAACGTACTTTCTTATAAGCGATAAAATAGAGTGTGCTTAAAAATACTGAAAAATTTAATCGAACTACATTCTGATGATTATGAAATTATCCGAACAAAATTAGCTATGTCTGAGAAAATAGGTTACTTTTTCTTCGTATTCCTATGTCTTACAATTTTTTAATGCCAGTTTTGTTTTTCATTTTGGAATAATATCATCAATACATTTTTTGTAAAGCATTGAACCGGAAATATTTTAGTAAAAAATTACGTCGATTAAATCTATGCAGGTGGAGAAAAAGTGAATATAGTAAGAGTGGAGTTATTTTTGTGCCGTCCATTACATTGTCTCTTTCCGTTATTGTGAAACTTAAAGTCATACTACATACATACAAGACGCTGGACAAAACCAAAAGCCCAATAAAACCCGCTAGTTGAAAGAAAAGTCCTGTACAGTTCACTATACATCGTTGCTTTTTCGGATATAGTGATTGTCCTTCTGATTAACAAAAAACTTATAAAATCTCATGTTTTTGCATGGAACTTTAGATAAAATGGACACTTTGTGTTACAGTGATGTCGTACTGATACAACTCGCCATCTATCTTTCATTTTTTATTTTATTTTTTCATCTCTTTTCTTATTTCTTTCTTGGTGATATATCTAGTCTTTTCCTTTGTTATCCATGTATCTCTTCTCTGTTCTCTTTCTTTTTTCTCTCGTTCTCTTTTCTTTTTCTCGTTCACTATATATGTACTTGTTTTTCATCATTTTAAAACAGATAATAAAAGATCGTGTGCAAGTGTACACATATACACACACATATACACAATTTTTTAAAAGAAAGAAAACGAACTTAGCGTTGATCCAAAAGGACGAACGCTAACAATTGGCGACCCTGGACAAAAACGAATATTTACAACAACAATAATTCATCTTTATCTTGATTTTAATTTTAAAATTAATTGCAACATTAAAGAGCCTCTAATTTAAAAAAGAGACTCGGGAATTAATTGTATCAGAGCCTTGTAATATAGACTCGGGTGAATAATTTTTTTTTGTCATTACATATTAATTCAACCATTAGGTAAAACAACGTCTCTTTACTTTCATAAAGAATTAACTCAATAAGATAAGGGATACTTTTCAGTAAACCATTTCTAATATTTTCAAATATATAAAATTGAATTGCATTTCCCAGAAAGAATTCTCTTGTAACAAGTTGAATCACAAAAAAAAAACAAAAAAAAAAACAAGCAATGATCAATATAAACAGAAATACTAATATAGAATTTCGTTCATTCTTCTTCAATTATATACATCAATACAATCAGAAATTCTAAAAAAGAATTTGATCCATCCTTCTTCAATTACATACATCAATATAATCGGAAATTCTAAAAAAGAATTTCGTTCATTCTTCAATTACATAAATCAATTAATCAGAAATTCTGAAGAAGAATTTCGTTCATTCTTCTTCAATTAAATAAATAATCTAATTAGAAATTCAAAAAAAAAAAGAATTTCGTTTATTTGTCATTCAATTATTCGTTATCCATAAACGGATTTATTTTTATTTAACCATTGAATTATTTGCCATTATATTTATTTATCCTTACATATAATAATTTCATAACGGCTTCTGGAACAAGGCTTCAAGTTAAGAAAAATAATAGTAAATTATTTCCATATACGATTATTACACATCCAAAATCTCATACACTTTCACATATTGATTCAACTGAAACTGAATCATTAGAATTTGATATAGTTAATATGGCTGATCAAACGTTATTAACAAAAGCTCGTAAAGCACGGTTCGATGATTTGCCAAATTTTTCTGGACACCCTTCTGAGGATGTCGAACGGTTTTTAAAAAGCATCAAGAATATAACCAAGGTGACTGATGAATCAGACAATCAGGAAATTTTAGAAATTGTCCATGGTAAATTAATTCAATCAGCAGGAACATGATTCGACAATAATGAATCTAATTTCAAAAAATGGTCATATTTCGAAATTGCATTTCGAAATCGATATTTTTCTACAACATCAACTCACAAGAAATTTGATACATTAAAACAACGTAAACAATTACCGGATGAATCAATTACGTCTTACTGCGATGATATTATTAATTTATGCAAGGAAATTGATTCCAATATGTCAGAAAAAATTATAATTCAATATTTAATGAGTGGAATTAATCCTGATTTTAGG